TAAGCATTAGGCCGCTGAGTCCCTATAAGTGGGTTTCCACAGCTGCCAGAAATATAAGAGGACTTGGCAAAGAACTTACATAGTCATGAATCTGACTGACTGGTATCATTTTAACAAGAAAACATTAAGGACTGTTATGACCTACAAATTTTCAATATTACCGAAAACCCCTAGAAATTACAGATTGAGTGTGTGCGTGTGCTGAGCAGTGGGGGTAGGGAATAAAATTAATCACCCAGGAATGTTTTGTAAGTGTTTATACATATATAAGTGTGTGTGTGTGAGAGAGAGAGAGAGAATTTTGAAATGTCATAATGAATGGAAGACTTGTGCTTGGTGGGTTCTTTATGCTGGGAATGGCTGGTTTATAGATTGGCTTATCTTCCCTACCCTAGGTTACCATTCTGCCAGTGTTGACTTTATTTATTTATGTATTTATTTTATTGTGGTAGGCATCCAAAGGCCCTTGGGAACCTTACTCACAATAATACTGGTTCATACTACATCTGAGAGAGCCTCTCGGGGTTATTCTATCTCATGTAAATCACTGGACCACCCCTGTTTTCCATTGATATGATTTGTAATACTGTAATAGCTTACTGCATTTGATTATCTTCTCCAGGAAGACATTCTAGAAGCCGAGGGAAATGATTATGATGAAGCAGTAAGGAAAAGTAAATAAAAACATTTTATACTCCATTTATAAATACACTTCACAGTGCTTCTTTCTCAAATTGCCATCCTAGTCTTCATAGTCAACTTTAACTGTGATAATTTGTGCTTGTGTAAGACTGCTAATTCTGTTGCCTTACCCTTTATACACTGACACAAGGGGAATTTGCTGCTTTTTTATAAATAAATTGGGGCCAAAGAGTAAATTCACCCTTTTTTTTTTTTTATATTCATGCCAGCTCAGCTTTAGGGGATTTGAGTGATGTAAGTGTATTGTACTGGGCCCCACAACTAGTACAACAGAAAAAATAATCTTCAAAGTGAATATTTTAGTGCTTCATGCAAGGCACACTGCTCAATGTCTGGGGGAAAAAATAAAGCTGCTCTTACATTTGTGAACCACAGTCCATTGTTGTACATGTTTTCTAAGCTCCAATATAAATCTTAAATGCATAACAAGTAGACAGTACTGACGCCCACACCCTTGAAAAAAATGAAGTCTTATTCCTGATTATAATGAGCATGTTGTATCAGTTCATGGGATTAAATCCTTGAAGGAAAGGAAGGTGCGTACATAAAATCAGATTTCTAAAGGTTAAGTAGAGTTCATTGCATTTATTTCATAATATTTCACTATGAAACTCTAGTCTTCAAGAAAGTGGATGCATGAAAACCAATTAGGAAGTTCTTTAATAGCATAAAGACTGACGCCCAGGGCCAGCTCCAGGTACCAGCGAAGGAAGCAGGTACCTGGGGCGGCCAATAGAAAGGGGCAACACTCCATCAGTTATCGGGGCAGCATGTCCAGGTCTTCAGCGTCAATTCGGTGGCGGGTCCTTAATTCCCTCCCTTCCACTTCGGCAGCAGCTCAATCGGGGTTGTCTCCCCTCACCACCCCCACCCCCCTCCCGCCGCTTGAGATGGCAAAAAATCTGGAGCTGGCCCTGCTGACACCTCCTTTTAAATTTAACTTTATCACGTTATTGGCTAGACAATTAATTCCATTGTCTCTTGTCAATTATCAGTGGGGATATGTTTGAATAGGCTGCATGTTTGAGTTTACTTTTTATCTGGAATTGATGCTAAGGCTTCAGATGGACAGGAAGAGTAAATTGTCTCCCAGGATTGAGTTACCTAGGGTAGGGGCCTTGGGGAGGATTACAAAGACATTGAGATTCCCCTCGCCATGTTTCCTCTAAATTAGTTCTCCTGAGCAGCACCTTACTGGTGGCATTCTGCTAGGATCTCTCCAGTTTGTCTGCTTTTGTTGCCTCACTTTAAAGAGGTTCTACAGCATACAGGGACCCAGCGGAAAATTAGTTCAACCTATGCTGCATTAATTTTCTTGTAGAATCCCAATGGGGCTGGAAGAGGGGGGAATGATACATGTTCTTATCTCTGCTTTGAACCTTCTCCTTCCCCAATTTCTACATGCAGATGCCCCCTGTCAGTGCATGGATTTCAGGGGGATGATTGGGTCTAGATATGAAGGTAAAGTATCTGGCTCAATGCATGACTCAACTGTCATGTGATAGTGCAGGAGGATTCTTGGCAATTGAGCTATACTCAGTACATAAGTTCTGAGAAATTTGCCTGTGTTTTTGTAATTGTAAACTGTATCAAATATCATTAAACCCATAGCTCCTGACTATCATATGGTATGATACAAATTAAAACCTAGAAGTTCCCTCTGCACATTGAATCTACAGAGAGATAAAACCATATATTGGTTTTGTGCCACTTATCTGTGTGTAATCTTTTAAAAGGGAGAATGGTTTAGTAGTTCAAGCATAGAACTAGGAGTCAGGAGTTCTGAGGTCTGTTCCTGGCTCAGTCACTGTCTTGCTGTGTCATTGGACGAGTTGCCTGACCTTGCTGTGCCTCAGGTTTCCTATCAGAAAAATGGTGCTCCCTGCCTTCCTCACAGCAATATTTTGAGAGTAATCCAATAATGTTTGTAAAGTGTTTTGAGAATCTTGGGTGGAAGCTACCATAGAATTGCCAAATGTTATGAATCATCATTATTATTTTTCTGCTTAAAGTGTGAAACATGACAAAACAAAGGAAATGCCATTAAGTATATATCACTCCAAAGAACTTTGGCTTAATGAAACATGAGAAAAGTGTGCTAGTGTAAAAGAATACGGGGAGACCTACATTGTTCAGACAAGATCATAGGGAATGCAAAGGAGGTTGAGCCAACTTAATATGTACATAGTTTTAAAAGTAACCAAGAAGCAATATTTAATTTTCATAGGTTAAATTAAGGGACTGTTACAGAAATAAAACAATGTTTTATATAAAGAAAAAACAGCTGGTACTGCTTGTTTGTGAAAAGAACAAGCTACTGGTATGTAAGTGGGTTGGAAATGTGGTGCATTAAATTCATGTAGAGGATTGCATCTTTACGCAGTCCATAAAAGGAAACTAGAAAATGGAAATGTTTTGGCATTGAGCATAAAGAATGTTTGCCTAAGGGTTATATATTACCAGCTAACAATATTACGGCGAGAGCATGAAAAGGCTAAGGTGGTTGACAAAGAAAAATGGCAGAACTGTTTTCACCAGGATATTTCCAATGTATTTTGTGAGAAAATCCAACTAAACATCATAATTAAAATTAGCATGTGTGTCTTTTTGTTGTCCCCAGTTCCTTTTTTACATGGAGGGGGGGAAAATAGGTATGCTCTATATTAGAGAATTCCCAGTCTCCTTACGTCTGAGTTCTCTTACGGTGGTACAGGTCAGCAGAAATGTAGGGTATTTTTTCAAATATATTTTTGTGTTACATCACCATTTAGTTTTCTGTGTGTATTTAGCCATAATCTACAAAAGTTATTTGATCTTTTTGAGGATAGAATCCTCTTCTGGTCCTCCAACTTGCGAAGATTTAGGATGCTTTCTTTGTCAAAGTGTGTTATGAAAGCAGTAGAAGCGGATGTGAATGCAACAACTTCCAGCATATCAGAATTGGCAGTTCCCAGACCTTTATTAAAAGATTCCTTATTGGTGTATAGTGAGCTCAGTGCTGGCAGGGTGATGGGTTAGATAACTTAGTTGGTCTTTTCCATTTCTAACATGTCTGATTTTAATGGCAATCATTTGAGTCAAGAAATGGGATATTCACCATAAGGGGCTATCCCTGTGTATAAAATGAAAATGTCAACCAGAACCACTATTCGATCCAGGCCTTGTTTTAACTATTTTTCTGTTGCCATTTATGCCACCATGCTATGCCTGTGTATGCTAAAAGGTGTTTCTATGATCTAGCCTTTGATATTTAAAATGTAGTATCCTTAAACATTTCCGATTAACTTATTTTTCTTCCTTTTAAAAGTTTGCATCAAAATGTGTAAAAATTATTTACTAATTAGGACAGTGATATGTCAGTACAGTGGCAGATGCATATGATTTTTTGCTTATATACATATATTTACATATGTATATCTTGATAGTTTTGTTACATCTTGATAATTTGTAAATATTTTTAAAACAACAATGCAAATATGTGTACAGACTCCTAAAAATAGTAATTCATTCTTTGATATATTAAGATATAGTGCCTTGGGATAATAAGACTTGGAAATTTAACTCCTGTCACTTCTGTAAAGGCTGAATAGGTATCATAGTATTAATGTATCCGATGAAGTGAGCTGTAGCCCCTGAAAGCTTATGCTCAAATAAATTTGTTTGTCTCTAAGGTGCCAAAAGTCCTCCTTTTCTTTTTGTGAATACAGACTAACATGGCTGCTATTCTGAAACATAGTATTAAGGGTTTTCACTAGATATGACTATGCAGGTACCATGTGCCTCATGTTCTCGATACTAACATTTTATGCCAGGCAGTTGAATAATCCCGTGTCTCCCTTGGCAGAGATGTACAGGGGACACGATCGTGGTCAGTTAATGGAACAATATAGTCTTACTGTAAAGCATTTTTTTCATTTAAATATCCGTGGAAGATACATTATAGTTATTGAAGGAAAGATTAAAGAAAGAGTTTATATGTGGCACAATAAAGCTGTATTATTTAAGCTGTCATGACTTAGTTGAGGGCTTTGAAGGTGGTGTTGCTTTCATGATATCCGTACTATTTACAGGCTTGCTAAATCCAATAAGAGAAAGTGAAAAATAATTCTAGACTTCTTACCCAGGTTACTGTTCTGTTCTTCAAAGTATTACTGAGGAAAGTTTGGCATAAGCTGGGACAGGAAATTGAAACCTGAATACTATTTTAAACTGATAGGGTTAAAGGCCTTTCTTTTACACCAGCACACTTGTTCTTTTATTTGATACTTGAACTCTGAAAATTTTCTGTGACTTTCTAGGGAGAAGGAGGAGCAGCTGACTCGGGTGACAGAGGTACAGAAGCTGCAGGCCCAGCAGGCAGATGCTGCCCTGGAGGAGTTTAAGCGGCAGGTGGAGTTGAACTCAGAAAAAGTCTATGCTGAAATGAAACAGCAGGTGAGAAGGTCACAATGCCAGCCTTTCTGAAACTCTCTGTCTCAGTAGGGTAGCATATTCTGATCTTATAATGCCAGAAACATGTTTCACTTGATAGTGCTACATCAAAATCTTTCACAATGTAGTGACTTTGCTAGCAAGTCAGAGGGGGCTGTTAGCAGTTGATTCATCTTTATAAGAAAGCCAGGATTGTCATTGTTACATGGCTGTCTACAGTTGTATTACTGATTAGAGCTTTTCCAGGATTCAGAGTAAAATGTGTTAGTTTATATACTTTTATGGAACAAAGTCTATACTTTCCCACTTTTTCAACTTTGTCTCTCTGGCTATTCTTTTAGGGACATGTCATTCTCCTATTAATGGGAATTTTGCAATGGTTTCAATAAGAACAGACCCAGGCTCATTCTGATGGTGGTCACTGATGAGCAGATGACAACAAAAGCGTTTTTCCCCACTTGAAAATTACTATTAATGATAATTTATTTACATACTACTTAGTGTGCTAGTCATTTTACAGAACAAACTAGATTAATGTATTAGCCCGAAGGAGCTAGGAGGAACAGTAGAGTGGGAAGGGATGAGAAATAAAGGGAGACACAGGTACATGGAGTGGCCTACTAATGTCATAAAAATGCTTATGGTATCTCAGTCTAGTGAATTGATCTGATCCATTCTGCCTTGCAACTTGCCTCTTTAATGGGAAAATCCAGTTGTTTCTTATTACAGGATGATGTAGCATGAGACTTAGAATGGATTTAAGGGGCAACTGGTGGTAAAGCATCCTGGTGAACACTTCTATAAAATAGAGATTGTTTCAGTTCTGAGGCTTTCCTCTTGCATTGGAGAGCAATAGAAATAGTGGAAGATGTGGTCTTGTTGCAGTTGCCACTTCTGGCCATCAGTAGATCTCTGTAAAATATTATTTGTGCTTCAGCATTGTTTGGGATGAAAGGAGCTGTACGAATGTATGATACTATAAGAATCAACATTTTACAACTGCTTAAAGGGATTGCTTCTGCATAATCCATGTACAGCGCAGAGAGATTCTTATGTGAGAAGTTTTTTTTGTTTACTGTATTGTTTCAGTATGAAATTGATTTGGTAAAATGATGGAAAAGGAGTAAACATTTTACAAATAATTACCGATAACTGAAATGAAATGTAGCATAAACATAATTGAGATAAATACTATTCAGATATATATATGTTATTCAGAAATCATTAACTTTTAAATTCATATTAGTGGTGTGATATGTACCAAATATGGGTGAGAAACAAAGCAGTAGTGCTTTGCATGCAGCCTATATTTTGAACATTTGTTTTTGTTGTGAAATGCTGGTTTTGCTTCTTGCAAAGTCTTCAGTGTAAAAGCAGCAGAGCTGTAAGGCATCTTCTGTTTTAAAAGTCTTGTACGGAGAGCCGATAATGGAATTATGAAATAAAAAAGCCGTGAGTCTGTTTTGAAAGGGCAACTTTTATTTTGCAAACTAGACCCATGAGGGCAATAAAACCGGCCCTAAAATTTCAAAGTCACTGTCCTACATTTTTCTCTAATCTGAATCTCTCCTTTAGTTCCTCCAAGATTACTTAAATAAATAAATTTTACTTCTGCTCCAAGTGAGAAATGTATTTTAATTCTTATTGAAGATATGGTTTCATTGAGCCAGAAATTTACTTGTTTTCAAGAAAAAGTTTTCCCAAAATAATCCTGAAAATATATTCATCATGAAGACATTTGACAAGTTTTTTTTAATTTCCTTTAAAAAAAGAAAAAGAAACAAAAAATTGAAATGCTCCAGGAAATTTAAAAATACATTTTACTGAATTCCATAAAATTGCCATGTATTTTTTTCATTTTCTATGTGCTGTATACCATTCCATTTGTATGTTAAATACAGAAAGAGAAAATGTATTTAAGATAACCAAACTGGTCTTTCTTTCGGCTTCATTCACTGATGCCTCCTCAGTCCAGGTTCATGATACCTTCAGCTTCATCCAAAGTATTGGGTGGGCAGAGATGCAAAACCTGAAGTGTCCCTTGCCTTTGTCTGCCAGAAGCTGGGAATGGGTGACAGGGGATGGATCACTTGATGATTACCTGTTCTGTTCATTCCCTCTGAAGCGCCTGGAACTGGCTACTGTGAAGATAGGATAGTGGGCTGATAGACCATTGGTCTGACCCAGTATGGCAGTTTTTATATTCTTATTGAATTGTAGTGAGAGACTGCCTTATGACAAACAGTGGTTTCTGTGATCTTACTGAATGGAACTGGTGGATAGTGCTCAACAATTGACTGTTTTTGTTCTTAAACAGATATCATGGTGTGAAACAACGGTAGAGAAAGAAATATAGAAGCTATCTAAGACAGTAAAATATTTGTGATTTATTTTAATTCACCAAAGAGAGAAAATGTTAATGGCCAAATTGTCAGAGGAGCTTTCTGACTGGTGCTGCAAAACCCTATATTCATGTAGGCAAATAGTCTCACCCGTATGCATTTACCCTCTATTTTCTGCAGTTGCTAGTTTTAAAATGAGTAGTTTAGGATGCCTCATTGAAAATTTGACTGTATATCCTCGTCACTATAGCAGGCTGCCCTAGTTGTTGTCATCATTGTGATCTTCTCTTTCTTTATTATTTGTATTATGGTTTCGCCCAGAGAGCTGAAACAGAATTGGGGCTCTCTGTATTAGCAGTTGAATAAATATATAGGAAAACCCTGCCTTGTTCTGGGGAGTTTACAGTTTGGGGCATGCAGATAATGGCTTCTGCTCAGTATTGAACTGATTTTTACTGACAAAGAAAGAATGACTCAAAGACCAAATCCTTTTAATTCCCTGCCTTAGATAACTGCATTTGACGTATAACTTAGGAAGTGTCACTAGTCTAGTGCTAGCTACTGCTGTTTTGCTGTAATAATGCTGTCAGTGTAGACCTATTTTGGAGGAAGTTCTCCTCACCTGAGACACACTCACAACAAGATGGAACTTTGGGGACAGAGAGAGAGAAAAAATGGAAGAATTCCCTGTGTCTGGTACATAAAACCACCACCACCTACGGCATTTTCCACCTGATATGTAAGACATTAGCAAGGTTGTTAAATGACATAATGATGAGAGAAATCCATCACAAGTGAGGAACTGCAGAACAAATGCTTACACGACATTCTTTATTTGGCTTATCGGTGTGCTTGGTTATTACAGGAGTTCCAGTGCAGTATGAGATGTAATTTACTTTGTGCTGTTGTACTTAGGCCTGGGAAAATGAATTAAGCAATAGCCAAAATTTTTAATCTCCATGATCTTATTGGTTTGTATCAGAGTCTTTGTTTAATTTTTGTGTGTTTTGCATACTGACTTGGATTGTTGTTTCCCTCATCGGGGTATTATATTGTAGTTTCATAGACACTCAACACGCTAAGGTTAAGCAATGAAAAACTGTAATAGTGAAACACTGTGTAAAATGATACGCTAATTTAAAGAAATTTGTTCATAGCTGAGAATTTCTTTTTTTAACATAAGAACAGCAACACTGGGTCAGATCAAAGGTCCATCTCGCCCAGTATCCTGTCTTCCGACAGTGGCCAATGCCAGGTGCCCCAGAGGGAATGAATAGAGCAGGTAATCATGAAGTGATCCATCCTCTGTCACCCATTCCAAGCTTCTGGTAAATGGAGACTAGGAACACCATCCCTGCCCATCCTGGCTAATAGCCATTGATGGACCTATCCTTCATGAATTTATCTAGTTCTTTTTTGAACTAGATAGGCAGTAAAACTTCACATTTTTATTGTTTGAACTGACCAACTGTTAAACATTTTGTCTGTATGAATATTTCAGATATTATTCATTTAAGGCAGAATTCTGAGTAGTTTTACAGCATGAGTAGTCTGTGACTTCTGTAAGTAGTAAGGTACTATTCAACATGAATAAGAGCATCAGAATATGGTCCTTAATGTTAAAAATTAAATGTATTGAGGCAAATTCTCCACTCAATTAAACCAGTGTAAATCTGGACTGACTCCATTGAACCTCAACTATAGGAACCATTTGGGGCCAGTAGGGTGGGCAAAGGGGGAGGTTGTGCTACCCACCTTTTACTCCCATTGATTTTGTGAGAGCTGTAGGTTATCAACACCTATGGATATCAGGCACACAATGAACAAATAGGTACATTTAGAGCTGATAAGTATTACCTGATGTGGAGGTAGTCTATTGATTGTTGATGTCTATTATAAAATTTTAGTATTATGCAAATTATTTGATATGTGAGAGCTGTGCTGTGCTTGTCTGAGTAAATGTTTATGTAGTGGTTTAGGAGAAGATTTTTGACAAAGGAATTTTTTTTGTGTGTAGAACTTACACTGTTGATAATATAATAGGAATTCCATTAATGTATGGTCTAACCTTACTTTGCTCACAGTACAACAGAAATACGTCTGCATCTGGACATCATTTATTAACACTTGATCCACATGATTGTTGTGGTAAAACTTGATGTTTTTGGGAGAATCAGCATTTTGGCAACTCTTTGATTCAAGCAAATTTCCAGCCATCTAACTAGCTCCCCCCACCTCCCCAAATGGTGCCCATTTGCTTTTGAAATGCTTAATTAGGCACAGTAGAATGTCTGTTTATTTCTTTTACTTTATTGGTAAGAATTAGATTGATAATACAGTTTTGCCTTGAAATACCTTGACAATTTCTGGTTTAACGCTGACATTTTCAATGTGCTTTTTTTTAATTGATGATTGTGAAAAAAAAATCCTTAACACAAGTGCCCATTTACCATTGGTGATTTGTCTGTGAAAGATTGAAATGAATTGAAGTGAAAGTAGCAAAGTATATGGGCATATTTCAAAGGATCATGATATTACTTAGAAAGTAGTCTCTAATAGCAGAAAAAAATTAGAGTATTTTTGAGAGTTTTGGTGGAGAGTATTAAATGGACGTTGCATCTACTAAGAATGATCTTCTTTGGATTTACTGTTTAATGAGAGCCTCATGCCAAGCTTTTTGTGACCATATAGAGGAGTAGAAGCAAGTAAGAGTCCCCCTTTCCCTTGCATGGCCACTTAAGATCTGCCTGAATTGCAGCTCTGGCACTAGGGGGGAGAACAAAGGGCTGTGTGCCAAATGCTTCCCTTCAGAGCAGAGAGGGAACGGACAATAGATGGAGCAATGATTTTTCCTATGCAAGCTCCAGCCAGTGGATCTGACTGGCCACTTGGAGAGGATTATGGTGCACCCCACAAAAGGGTGTCACAAATTACTCTCCAGTCTCTTGGGTACATGTACACAGCCTGCTGCAAGCCTGGCAGTGAGCCTCCCAGCCCAGGTCAACAGACTTGGCTTGCGGGGTTTGAGCTACCTCTTTAAAAATAACTATGTAGATGGCACTTTGAAGTTGCATCTTGGGCTAGAACTTGGGCTTTGAAGACTACCCCCTTCCGTAGCCTTCAGAGCTTGAGCACAAGCCTCCAGCATGGTTTACACAGCTATTTGTAGTGCGGTAGTGTGATCCTGAGTTTGTCAACCCTGGCTGGGAGGTTTGCTGCTGCGGTCTGGTCACTCTGAAACACAATGCCACCACTTACTCTGAGGTGCTCAAGTAGCACAGTCTACCCCTGGGTTTCTAACATAGCTCTGTGGGATTAATTATACCAAATTTACACAAGTTGACTAATTCCTTTACTTTCAGTGGGGCTCCTTTCAGAATAAGGTACTGTACTACCCAGTGTGACAAGTGTGGCAGAATTGGGCCCTATATGTTCATCCTATAAACCTGGAAAACTCAGATGTCAATTGAACATTCCTTCTTGACAGAGAAAATCAGTTTATTAAGCATGTAGCACAATTTTCTGTATAACAAGTATTTCAAGGCTATTTTTTTTTCAGCTAAGACATGTCAAACCATGTTGTAAATGTTGATAGCATGTGGCAGTCATGCCTTCTAAACTTCTAAGTTATCAAGCAGTTCAGAATATAGGGACTGTTTTTGAGAGGTACTGAACTCTTCAAACTCTCATTGACTTCAGTGAGGCTTGCAGGTTATGAACCTCTTGGGGTCAAGTTCATAAAGAGCAAATGATAATGTAAGACGTAGGAAACTATGCTACAGTGACTAAGCTTCAAGTAGTACTTCAGAGAAACAATACTGAAGCTCTCTTTTCACCCGTCCTTTCTCATTTCCCCTCCACACATGCACCCAATTCTCAAATAAGCTACATACGTTCTTCCAAAGACAAAGTGATATAATATTGGAGCAAATGCTATTGCTTTCTCCTAGTTGGATAGAGCATAGAATGACCTACCGACATCATAAAATGGAATCTGTAGTAACTATAGCAACACTGGATTCTGAAAATAGTTACTGTAAATATTAAACTTCTGAAATCCTCTTTTCATTATAATGTTAATTAAGGAAGTAACAAATGGAGTGGGGTCTGGTATTATCAGTTAGTATAATTGATATTTGGTTTATTTATTCATGTAATTTATGACTTTGTGAAATTACTTGCAATCTGCTTCTTATTTTTCAATAAGCTCATGGTTATTAAGTCATCTGATGTCCATTAGATGGGTGACTGAAACAATTTCAACTTTAAACTCAGTTTTGTTTTTTCCTGACCTAGGTGGCTGTCCTGTGACAAAACTTCATTTATTGGTGTTTATGTGGGTATAAATATAACTGATATTTTCATACATGCTTCTTCAAGTGTTAGCCAGTTGATTTTAATAGCATACATTGCATGCTACAACAAAGACAAAGGGAGAAAAATCAGACTGGTTTATAGAAGTCTAGATTAAAAGCACTGTATACACATCACTCACAAAAGAAAAGTATTTACAAAGCCAAATAGTAACTGCCAAAAAATGAATAAACAGAATTTGTGACAATATTTTGGCTCTAGTATTTGTTGGGATTGCAAATGAGAACCAAAAACCTCATTGCACTTGTGGCCAATATGCATACTCTGTGCTAGAGATTAAATAACAGAAACATATTGTTTTATTTGTAGAGTTTATCTAATATATTACTTTATTTGTATATACTTTCTGTGTCAATTTTTATAACCTTTTCATATTAAAAAGATGATTCTGTTAATATTTTGGACTTTATTTTGCTTTAGTTTTTCATTTTTGTAAAGTTTAGTTGGGGAAAACTAAGGGGCCTCCCTTTCTTTGATGTGTGAGATGGGGAAATAATGGGCTACAAGGATGGGTCTAAACTGGATTGGGAGGAGAGAGAAGGTGGTGATAGCAACCGAGGTTCCTTTTTTAAGGGCTTACTCGGGGGACATGGAAGAGAGGCCTTGCTGTTTGTGCTCCGCCTGCAGCCTAGTGACCTCTGTTCACCCTCAGTGCTGCAGTTTGTCCCCTTCCTATATCTGGGAAAACAATTCCTGGCCATGCATCTTTCCCTTTACTTGAGATAACTTTTAATTAAAATGGCTTCCCCATTGTTAGTGATCACTTTCCTCCTCCTTATCTGGCTTAGAAGTGGGATTTGAGCCCAGTGACAAATACATCTATGGGCACTCTTTTAGGCCAAATAGGAATTTTAGCTTGGGGTACAGAAATTCATTGTTGTTTTTCTTCTGGTATAGCTGATGGACTTGCAGCAGAAAGTGGATTCCTGATAGCTATATTCCCCTTCTCTCTTCTGCCCCCTTTTGGGAGGTACTGCTACTTAGGTTAGGAACTAGATCTAAAAGGAATTGGTGGGTAAGAAGTGCGGTATCGTATTGTATGTACATAAACCTTGGACACGTGACACAGAGATGATAGTTGTGCTTTTGATACAAAAGCCTTTGTTAACTGAGTTATGAAATTGCTTCCTTTATTACCATATAGGGGAATCTGTGACTCATTATTCATAGGCAATGACTGTTTTCAGAGAACTTGCTGCCAAATAATTCTCGTTTAAAGTTCTTTACTGATTTTAAGATAAATGTATTTTAAATGTATAGTTTGTGCATCCAACTCAGAGCATTACTTTCACTAAATTTTCAACAAGCAGTATATTTTTAAATAAAGTATTTTTAGTCATGTATATATAATATTCAGTTGATTTTTGTGGGATGTTACAACTATTGAATGAAAAATAAGACCTTGCATGCTAATCAGAAACAGGTGATATAGGTGATATATTTGTGTAATTAAATAATGATCCTCAACATACTGATATGTTCATTTCCTTACAAATGGGGATTTTTTATTATTGACTTTTATGTTTACGTCTTTGATTAACCATCATCTATCAAAAATGTGTCAAAATGTTTTTGAAGCTCTGCATTGAAAAACTAAATATTCCCTTTGTTTACCTTGTAGATGGAAAAGGTGGAATCAGATCTAAGCAGATCAAAATCTCTCCGTGAAAAGCAGTCAAAAGAATTCTCTTGGCAGTTTGAAGAACTCAAACAAAGATATGAGCAACAGGTCAGTCTGCCATTTTTATTTGGTGAGACAAGGTGGGTGAGGTAATATTTTTTATTGTACCAACTAGTGTTGGTGAAAGAGACAAGCATTTGAGCTACAAATAGCTGAAGAAAGCGTGTCTCTTTCACCAACAAAAGTTATTATCCAATATCCAAGTCCAATAAAAGATATTATCTCACCTTGTCTCTCCAGTATCCTGGGACCAACACAGCTACGTTTTTATTTGGTGGCATTTGTCTTTTCTATGTAGTCAGTTCCAGCGTCCAGCCTACTCTTGGTCTGACTCGCTCATTATGTTGGCATGCTTTCCTTTCTGTCAAAGCTGGCTACTCTGTTTGCAAAGCCATGCATTAAATACAAAAGCTCCTTGTTTCCTCTACATCTATTTTTCTATCTCTGGGCACTGACTGTTTCCTAAAGGATTCCCAGCCCTACAAAAATAAAAAACGCATTTATAAAAAAAATAAAATGGCTTGACTGCCCCTGTCTATTTTTTCTCTTATCAAAAAATTAGATAATTTAGTTTTAGTCTAGTCTTGTTTTTAATATTTTTATTCATTTTTTGGCACAAGCTATGTTTTTAGAAAAGATTCTTATTTAAGTGGTTTTGATAGATTATCATTTTAAAGATGTAATAAGCCTTTCCAATGCCTAATTTTGATAGGCAGTTACAGTAACTCTCTGGCTTACAGGATGTAATAGCTTGCTTCTGCTTATTGTAGGAAGCTTCTTATTTTTCTGTTCCTTTCCCTTTCACAACTACTCTGGCTCTTCAGTAAAACCTTTTGGGGGCTGAGAGGATTGAGCCATTTTATGGGCTGCAGCAGCATTATTATCTTCTAAATAAAGGACTTCTTTCTGATTTACAGCAATGATATGATAGCTCCATAAGCTGCAGGTAATCCATTATCTAGATTTTTGGGCTAATACAAATTTGTATTTCCATGAGGGAAACCTAGATTCCGTTCCCTGCCCAGGTTTGTGTTTCCAGGCTGGCATGAGTAGGACGTATTGCAGAGGCAACACATTCAGCCCTCAGAAGTATGAGAAGAGACCACCCTGGCTTAACCAGGAGATCTTCAATGATCTAAAAATCAAAAAAGAGTCCTACAAAAAGTAGAAACTAGGTCAAATTACAAAGGCTGAATATAAAGAATTAACACACGTATGTAAGGACAAAACTAGAATGGCCAAGGCACAAAACCAGATCAAACTAGCTCGAGACATAAAGAGTAATAAGAAAACATTTTACAAGTACATTAGAAGCAATAGGAAGACCAAGGACAGGGTAGGCCCCGTTACTCAATGAGGGGGGGAAATAATAACAGAAAATGTGGAAATGGCTGAGGTGCTTAATGACTTCTTTGTTTTGGTTTTCACCAAGAAGGTTGGTGGTGATCAGACGTCTAACATAGTGAATACCAGTGAAAATGAGGTAGGATCAGAAGAGGCTAAAATAGGGGAAGAACAAGTTAAAAATTACTGAGACAAATTAGATGTCTTCAAGTCACCAGGGCCTCATGAAATGCATCCTAGAATACTCAAGGAGTTGACTGAGGAGATATCTGAGCCATTAACGATTATCTTTGAAAAGTCATGGAAGACTGGAGAGATTCTAGACGACTGGAAAGGGGCAAATATAGTGCCAAATATAGGGAAATAAGTACAACCCGGGGAATTACAGACCAGTCAGCTTATCTTCTGTACCCGGAAAGATAATGGAGAAAATAATTAAGCAATCAGTTTGCAAACACCTAGAAGATAATACGGTGATAAATGACCGCATGGATTTGTCAAAAACAAATCGTATCAAACCAACCTGATAGCTTTCTTTGACAAGGTAACAAGCCTTGTGGACAGGGGGGAGCGGTAGACATGGTATATCTTGACTTTAGTAGAGCTTTTGATACAGTCTTGCATGACCTTCTTTTAAACAAATGAGGGAAATACAACCTAGATGGAACTACTATAAGGTGAGTGCAAAACTGGTTGGAAAACCATTCCCAGAAAGTAGTTATCAGTGGTTCACAGTCATGCTGAAAGGACATAACAAGTGGGGTCCCGCAGGGATAGGTTCTGGGTCCGGTTCTGTTCAATATCTTCATCAGTGATTTAGATAATGGCAGTACACTTGTACAGTTTGCGGATGATACCAAGCTGGGAGAGGTTGCAACTGCTTTGGAGAGTAGGATTAAAATTCAAAATGATCTGGACAAACTGGAGAAATGGTCTGAAGTAAATAGGATGACATTCAATAAGGACAAATGCAAAGTACTCCACTTAGGAAGGAACAATCAGTTGCACAGATACAAAATGGGAAATGACTGCCTAGGAAGGAGTACTCCGGAAAGGGATCTGGGGGTCATAGTGGACCACAAGCTAAATGTGAGTCAACAGTGTAATGCTGTTGCAAAGAAAGCGAACATCCTTCTGGAGTAAGGAGCCAGGAGTAAGCAAGACACAAGGATTAATTCTTCCGCTTTACTCTGCGCTGATTAGGCCTCAACTGTAGTATTGTGTCCAGTCTGGGTGTCACGTTTCAGGAAGGATGTGGACAAATTGAAGAGAATCCAGCGAAGAGTGACAAAAATGATTAAAGGTCTAGAAAACATTGAAAAAAATGGGTTTGTTCAGTCTGGAAAAGAGAAGACTGAGGCGGGACATAGCAGTTTTCAAGTACGTAAAAGGTTGTTACAAGGAGGAGGGAGAAAAATTGTTCTTCTTAACCTCTGAGGATAGAACAAGAAGCAATGGGCTTAAATTGCAGCAAGGGAGGTTTACGTTCAACATTAGGAAAAACTTCCCAACTGTCAGGGTGGTTAAGCACTGGAATAAATTGCCTAGGGAGGTTGTGGAATCTCCATCATTGGAGATTTTTAAGAGCGGGTTAGACAAACACCTGTCAGGGATGGTCTAGATAATACTTAGTCCTGCCATGAGTGCAGGGGACTGGACTAGATGACCTCTCGAGGTCCCTTCCAGTTCTATGATTCTGTGACATTTGGGTTGCCTCACTATATCTAGAAGGGTCTCTGGGTTGAGCAGTTCAGGGATGGGATAGCTTTACTAGGTCCTGAAGGAGGGTCCTGTCCAGAGCTTGGGTGGAACAATAATGCTTCTGATATGTCACTTTGATGGTAAATTGAATTAAAGAGACTAGATGGTTTCAAATCAGAGTCTGACACATCCCCAGACAGAATTGTCATGGTTACCAGTCATGATGTCACTGTATACTGTGAAGGGTTTGACTCACATATAATGTAACTATAGTAACATGCAGGTATGACGGCTTTATATTGTCACATTGGAACAATTATAGCTATAAATACCTATGATTCTCTCATTTTTATTTTACCAATGGTTCAGGAATAGTCAGGGTTCCACTTTTTTTTTTATTCAAATTTTGTGTCACAGTTGGACTCCTGTTTGTACAGAGCTCATCAGTAAAAGCATAGTCACAATTCCTGTCCATCACAATTAAAAGCTACCTGTAGTAAATGGATAGGGAGCACTGATGTGTTTACCCTATTGCTAGTAGAGCATGGGAATAAGTTTTTGTTTCTTACACATGCAAAGACCATTGCAGAGGTTACTTGCATTAGTGGGGAAAAGCTTGATCTGATGATTAAGGAGGTTACAGAGACAAATAAGATAGCAAGGAAGTTGCATGCAACCAAAGCCTAGGGATGGAGTAAATTAGTGTATATAGACTAAGATGAAACTCTGTACAGCAGCAACCAGGCTATGTGTAGTAAATCAAAATCTTCAGGAGCACAAGCAGTAGCAGATCATTTTTCTCACAAAAGTAAAGAAGATCGTGTTGTATTGTCAGACGAAATTGCTTTAGTCCAAGGTCATGTTTGAATTCAAGCTTTGGTGTTATGTGGTAGTTTGACATATTGTAATCTGGATGCCTTATCCAACTTTTCAATTATGATTAGATAGTTATTGCTACTGTGCTCCATCTATAGTAGAGTCGTCTTGGGAGAGTGAAGGCTTTACTTCATCTTGGTATCTGTTTAAGGTACATACTTTGCCTTTTGTAAGATGAACTAACATGAGGTTTCCGGGCCCACTGGTACAGTTGGGTGGCAATGACCGTTGGTCTGCTGACTTTAAATGGCTACTTTTCTGTTATGACAGAGTTCTAAGTCAACTCTAAGAACAGTCTGAAGATCTTATAACCCTTGATCTAAAAGTCAAAACAAAATCTCAAAGCTCTGTGTTTCCCAGTTGAATAGGTTTTGTTATTGACTAGTGTGAAGATTATTTTTACTACTTCACCTTTATAGACCAAGATAGTATGTCATAAAAATGGGAGGGACTGTTATACCTCGTTACTTGAAGTCTGTGATCACTTTCCGTCTTTAACTAGTTGTGTGATGTTGCTGGGCACTGCTTAAACAGTTGTCACATTTGACTCTAGAAGTTTTGGAACTAATCCTGCATTGCTGAGCATGGTGGTTTCTTCAAGTAAACAGTGCTATGCTCAGCAGTAAGTGTTCCATAGTGGGTATCCCATTTTTTACTCTTTTCATTATGTAGCCTAACACCTGCTGTGTGACATCTTGGTAAAAGGCAACATTAATTTCCGCAGTAGTAATATTGGAGTACAGTTTCAGAAACTGCAGACCAGAGTTTATCTTGCTTTCATACTGGCTTAGCAATCAGATCATTAATTAATCATTCACTAATTTAAATTGTTCTTTAGATTTCATTTTAAAGCTCATATTAAAATGGGGGAAATTAGTTCACAATCCCATACATTGGATTCTGATATGCTAGTGTTAGTAAATTGCTCTTCAGTAAAGTAGCTCAGAAATGCCAAAGATACTTGAAAAAGTTCATTTTGAAATGAAGATTTTGGGACAGATTTTATGTTCATCCACAGCTCTGCTCGTCGCAGGAATGGAATAGGGGCCAAAGGTGGCTTTAATCCCCCTGTTGTTTCTCTCCACCTTTGCAATCTGTCCAAGGGACCTGCCTGGCCACCAGTGTAA